GCCCGGGGTAGACACCCCCTCGGTCCTCAGCAGGTACAGTCTGCGCGGCGCTTTCTGGAAATAAAGCCTTAAGAAGAGGTTTAGGGTCACCTCTGTGTCGGAGAAACTCCTTGGGCTGCGTTTTACTGCAGCTGGCGGCTCTCTGGTTTACCCTCAAGTCATTAATACTGCTTGGAGCAGGGTACAACGGCATCCGCTTTGCAGACGCGGGCAATACAGAAAGCCGTGGTGTTCTCATCAGCGCCGCTTTTCTTGCTGGCTCTTACCGTTCTAAAAGTATTTCCTAAATGCCAGTGACAGTTGAATGTCTGCTCTTGTGTTTCGCCACCTTTAGTGGGTGAAAAAAGCTGGTTTGTGTGGAGTAACAGCTTCTGGGTGCATTTCAAGTAGTTCAGTGCCGCGGTTATGCGTGCACAGCCACTGAGTGATGTGCTGCCGTGTTAGATGAGGTCCCGTTAACCTTTAAACAAGTCACAGCTGCTTCTGATTTCTCTTGATGTGAAAAAGCCAGCGATTACTTTTAGCAAGAAGTGTTTCATTCTCATTCTGGTTTTTTTCCTTATTATTTTTCTTATTAGTGTCACACCTCTACTTCCAAGCATCCTTCAGCAGCCGGCGAGGACGCTCACTTACTGCAGCTTACGGAAAGGGAAGAGGAAATCTGTGAAAGCTGTCACCAAGAGGTTTCTGCGGCTGCACAATGGCCTTTGGGTTAGGAGAAAGGTAAGGCCTTTTTTGATTTCTTTGGTAATAAAGAGCGCTTTTTAGAGTCAGTGGGCTAAGTGGTTTCATTCCATTAGAGGGCAGCAACTGGTATGGAAGTTCAAAAAAGCTCTGTAGAAAGACTCCCATCTTCCTGAATCCCAGAATCACAGAATATCAGGAGTTGGAAGGGGCCTCGAAAGCTCATCCAGTCCAACCCCTGCCAGAGCAGGATCACCAGACCAGGTCACACAGGAACGCGTCCAGGGGTTTTGAATGTCTGCAGAGAAGACTCCACAACCTCTCTGGGCAGCCTGGGCCATGCTCTGGTACCCTCACGCTGACAAAGTTTGTCCTCATGTTCAGCTTGAACCTCCTGTGCTCCAGCTTGGGACCATTGCCCCTTGTCTTGTCACTGGACATCACAGAGCAGAGCCTGGCTCCTTCCTCCTGACACTCGCCCTTCCCAAACTTATAAACATGAATGAGGTCAAAGAAGTGGGGAAAGTGGGGAATTCATCCTGGTTTCCTCATCAGTGTTGCTGTAGCTGTGTGTTTGCAGCCACCCATTTAAGTCTTTTGTGTATTTTCTCCTGACAGGCTGGGTATAAGAAGAAACTGTGGAAGAAGTCGGCCTCCCAGAGGAAGCGTTTGCGAGAGCTGACGCTGTGCACTAGGACGCAATGTAAGCTCCTTGATAAAATGACCACTTCTTTCTGGAAAAGGAGAAATTGGTACGTGGATGATCCCTACCAGAAGTATCACGACCGCACGAATCTTTGTGTGTAGAAATCTTGGTTTCATGTTTGGGGGTGGTGGTGGCACATGTGGTATGGTCTTAATTTTAGAACATGTGTCTGTAATACCTGTGACTTTTCTAAATACGTGCATATCATCTGATCAGAATCATGGCTATTGATGCCCAAAATAAAGGAATATTCAAGATTATCTTGAGCTGCAGTTTGTATTTTACTTGGCAGAGGTCAAGCTGGTCACCTGTATGTTCTGACATCTCTTGGTTTCCTGTGACTGTGTGTAACATGGATCAATACAGTCCAAACATCGCTAAAAGTGACCCATTCAACATACTTAGTCTTAAAACTTCTTAAAAGGAACATATATAAATAACCTCAGGATATATTTTGCTGTGTCCATACTTTATTGGTAGCTCACTGAATGGTGCCTTCCTTGGGGAAAGGGAGCCAGGAGAGCAGGGTCCGTTCCAGAATTGAATAGAAGATAAAACTGTTGCCCTGTCTCCACGCCAGATGGCATAGGGGAAAAAACCCAGTGTTCCATGGCTACATCAGTTTTTATAACTGATGTAAAAAGACATTAGCCACCAGATTTCATTACATCACATTTTGTATCCTGTGTTGGTTTTGGAGTAGTAGAATATAATCTTTAGGTATGAATAGTAGGTATGTACTGGTAGAATATATTCTTCAACAAGGCCAAGTGCT